GATACAAACATTTGGACTAGTGCCTTATGTTTAGATTCATTTATTCATGGGGTTAATCCAGGGATAAAAAAATCATTTCGAATTTATCTGTTAATGCAATAACAATGTGATAGATTTAATCTTAGATGCATGATTTTTTTTCTTAGTTGTTAGTGGCTTTGAACTACTTCAGTAGCTGTCAGTAACTGCGAGTACTCTCAGATCTGTACTTAGTGTCTTTTTGTTGTTTGGATGTACAAGTACCCGGCCAAGTCCACATGTATTTGTAGTATTTGTATTTTTATCCATCTGATGAGTTAAGCCTCTTTCAACTGATTTTTGTCGAGCCTGCGACTTTTGTTGCAGAAAGCTCGACATAGGGATAGTGATCCAGTGGCTACAGCGGCGGCAGCGTTATCTAACTTCTTAAAAGCTTTATATTTTAGAAGGTGGAAGACCTGTATGCTTCATACTTTGTATATAGATGCCTTATGTTATGAAGTTTCCATCTGTCACATGTCCATTGTCCTTGACCTCATTTTCATGGTTCAGTGACTACTTGAAAAAAAGTTAGATTTTTGTAATGATAATTTCTCTCTTACTATGAATAATAGGATAACTATATTTGGTATGTGCGTACCTTGCAAGGTCCTTATGCCCGTCAGCCAGAATTCCCTTAACCTCGACCTCGTTTCATGGATCAGTGAACACGGTTAAGTTTTGGTGGTCAAGTCTATTTCTCAGATACTAGAAGCAATAGGTCTAGCATATTCGGTGTATGGAAGGACTGTAAGGTGTACATGTCCAACTGGCAGGTGTCATCTGACCTTGACCTCATTTTCATGGTTCAGTGATTATAGTTAAGTTTTTGTGTTTTGGTCTGTTTTTCTTATACTGTATGCAATAGGTCTACTGTATTTGGTGTATGGAATGATTGTAAGGTGTACATGTCTAGCTGGCATGTGTCTTCTGACCTTGACCTCATTTTCATGGTTCAGTTGTCAAAGTTAAGTTTTTGAGTTTTTGGTATTTTTTTCTAATACTATATGCAATAGGTCATCTATATTTGGTGTATGGAAATATTTTATGATGTACATGTCAGTCTTGCAGGTTTGACCTTGACCTCATTTTCACGGTTCATTGTTCAGTGTTAAGTTTTTGTGTTTTGGTCTGTTTTTCTAATACTATAAGCAATAGGTCAACTATATTTGTTGTATGGAAGGATTGCAAGCTGTACATGTCTGCCTGGCATGGTTCATCTGACCTTGACCTCATTTTCATGGTTCATTGGTCAATGTTTAGTTTTCTTGGTTAAGCCTGTATCTTAGAAACTATAAACAAAAGGTCAACAATATTTAGTGTATTGAATGATTGTAAGGTGTACATGTATTTCTTGTTTGGTTTATATGACCTTGACCTCATTTTCTTGGATCATGTCAAGTGTTTGTGATAGTTGTAGTAAAGCTTTATATTTAGGACTATCAACATAATATCAATGATTAGTAAAGAAGGCGATACATTTCAGCGTGTGCACTCTTGTTATAGTTCATTCTTATGTTGTACTGTTACACCACTGTCCCAGGTTAGGGGAGGGTTGGGATCCCGCTAGCATGTTTTACCCCGCCACATTCTGTATGTATGTGCCTGTCCCAAGTCAGGAGCCTGTAATTCAGCGGTTGTCGTTTGTTTATGTGTTACATATTTGTTTTTTGTTCATTTTTTGTACATAAATTAGGCCGCTAGTTTTCTCGTTTGAATTGTTTTACATTGTCATTTCGGGGCCTTTTAAAGCTGACTGTGCAGTATGAACTTTGCTCATTGTGGAAGGCTGTACGCTGACCTATAGTTGTTAATTTCTGTGTCATTTGGTCTCTTGTAGAGAGTTGTCTCATTGGCAATCATACCACATCTTCTTTTTTATATATCAATTATGGGAAAGTGTTTTAAACAAGATTTAGGTATGAATCAATGTTTTATATCTTTATTTATCAGCATACCATATTACACTGTTAAAGAGATACATGTACACACAATAAAAATTACATAATGTACATGTTGTATATGTAGTAAATTTGGTTGATTAGTATATTTCTTTTCTCAATAACTATTTATGATCATCATTAAATATAGGACATTTACAAATAGAAAGAAATTCATCTGATATCTCCAGAGTTATACATAAGTATTTCATATTATCACTTGCAATATTATGCCATCTACCAGTCTCAACCTACCTAATGTAATAAAATGTTTCTATCATCTTTAGTTTTTAAATAATATTCCAATTCACAGTTTTCATTATACATACCATATATATAGTTTACAGCTTTTTGTGATAAAAATAAAAAAAGATGTGTGTTTCCTATTACCCTACCCTCCCTATTTTTTAAGCTCAAAAATAGCCTAAAGTTTTTTTGTTGTCATTTTTCAGTTTGCACTTTTAAAGTCAGAATGTCCCTCCCATAGACTCAATGTAATAAAAATTGTAAAATAAAAAAAAAACCTACCTACCTACCCTTTTTTTTTCAAAGATGTAATAGGAAACACACATATTATTTTTTTTTTTTGGCCTTGGATATATTATAAGTCTTTTTTTGGCCAAATTAAATAATAGAAACTTGAGAATATTAATCAACAATTGAATATAAAATACATCTATGATATACTAATTGCAAATACTTCAAAAAAATCATTCATTTGTAGACAGCAATTCACTAAGTACTAAATTCACAGTAAGTGATGTTGTAGTCTACAGTTACTAATTTGAAAAGAAATACTTAAAATTTGTATCCAAAGTAAGTTCTGGTTTCAGTTTATTGTAACATTTTCACTATTTTTTAAAAGATATAAAAGAGCTGTTAAAAGAACTGCTGATCAAAAGGAGAGAGAATGCAGAATGCAGTTGGACTTATTGATGACAGCTGATGGCAAAGAAAATGATCATCTGCCATTACAAGACTTAGACTGCAATGTAGACATGGAAGACAAAAATGGTACCAGAACTTAGTTTACTATTCTTATGTGTTCATAGGGTTAATAATCTTTTTGGACTTGTTGCCTTCAGTTTCTCCATTAATAATTTATTAGCAGTTAATTTAAATGCTGCACAGCGTATATTTAAAAAAAAATGTATAAACATACCACAATGTATTCAATTGCAATAAAATCCATAATCAAGTAGTGCAATAAACAATGTTTTTTGTACAGAGATGAAAAGGCAACAAATTTATCATACATTTTATATTTTTCCTAGGACTCTATGTAGATAGCTTAATATATCATCAGTATTAATTTTGCACATTGGTTAAGGCTGTATGGTACCTATACATGTACTTGTTAATATTTTTTGATGTTTTAATCCCTGTCTACTGCAAACTATTTCTTTAAAATGTTAGTACGAAAATAATGAGATGTGGTATGATTGCCAATAAGACAACTAATCAAACAAACAAACAAACACACACACACACACAAGCTTAATTTACCGCAAAGGAAATTCTAAAAGCAAATGGGACAGACACAAGCTCATTTACAATGGATAAATGTCAATTTTATTCAGAAAATAGACCATGCACTTGTAAAAACAACTTCTTGATATATGACACCAACCTTCATCAGGTTATGCTGTTCCTTGTGACACTTTTCAGTTACTTTGATGTTTATATAGATGGAGTTTAATTCATCCTTTATTAGTATCCAAAAGCTCAAAGTGAATCTGGTTTTCTTAATTGGAAAACTGCAAATTTGATATATAATTTAGACATTTTTATAAAAGTAAAACAAGGAAATGATTTTATAGTACAAGTTACATTATGTTTACAAGCCACACAAAAGTAAATTATTTCAGTAAAAGTCATTTGACCCTTATCATGCTTATGTAATTTAAGAAAAGTTTCAAGTGTCCTTGTTGCCAAATGGAAATGTTTATAGTATTTTTGGTTAATTTATAACTCTTTATATTTCAGGTAAAGGAGATTATGAAAATTGCAGTATATTATTAAAAAATGCCATAAGTGAAAACAAAATCCTAATAGATCAACTTCAACAACTGCAGTTAGAAAAAAATGTTTTAAATAATAAACCACCTTATATGAGGGCTTCTAGTCTATCCCTGGAGAAAACAGAAGAAACAACAAAATTTTATACCGGATTGCCATCTTATACATGTTTTATTTGGTTGGTGAACTTTGTGACCTGTATTTTACCTTCTTCCAATATTTTGAGTTCAGCAGACATTCTTCTTTTGGTTTTAATGAAATTACGTTTAAATTCTCCACATACTGATATCTCATTTCGTTTTGGAGTTTCTCTTAGTTTAGTTACCAATTTAATTGACAGTGTCATCCCTCAATTAGCCCACAAATTAAAATGGTTGATTCATTGGCCAAATAAAGATGATATTTTACGCTCTAGACCAGACTGCTTTAAGGAGGCCTTTCCCAGATGTGTTTCTGTTATTGACTGTACAGAAGTTTATATAGAGACTCCATCAAATTTTACAGCCAGATCTTGTACTTACAGTAACTATAAGCACCACAATACAATTAAGTTTTTAGTCAGTATTGTTCCGTGTGGAAGTATTTCTTTTGTTTCACGTGCATTTGGGGGGAGGACTTCAGATAAATTGATTTCTCTTAAATCTGGTTACCTTGACTTTATACATCATGGTGATGTTGTCCTAGCAGACCGTGGCTTTCTTATTAAAGACGAATTAGCATCGAGAGGGGCTGAATTAATTATACCATCATTTGTAAAGGGAAAAGACCAGCTAAGTGCCTTTGAAGTGGAAAGAAGCCGAAATATTGCACATGTAAGAATTCATGTTGAAAGAGAAATGGAACGACTGAAAAATTTCCGTATTTTGTCTGGAAAGATGTCATTGAATATGGTGCCACATTCTGACAGTATCATGACAATTTGCTCTGCTATTATAAATATGCACCCTAATATTGTTCAATAACAAATTAACACATTTCCCTTGATTATAGGTAAGGCCATTGAAAATTTAATATTGGTTTCCCCTAACACAAGAAAATTTTAAAAGGTCAGCAGGCAAGAAAAACTTTATTTTTCTATTATTGTAGTTCAAAATATCTACCAGACTACAAGAAAAATGTTGACATCATATCTGATCTATATTGTGATGTCACCTACTTTAAACTTGAAGAATGATAAATAAAACATTATTTTGAGAAATGGTCAGACAAGGATCATTTATAGTTTAAGAGCAAGTATTACTGGAGGGTGAAAACAGACCCAACAGACTTTAGGTAAACCAACAATCTTTTTTCCATGGCCTTAAAATTACTAATTTTCATATCTCATCATGTACATAACAACATGTTTCTTGTTGTTTTGTCTAGCCAACATTGACTTTTAAAACAAATTCAATTTTTGATATCTGTATTCAAATTCAAGAAGTTATTGTAGCAAAAATTGCTGAGGCATCACCGAAAGATAATTGTTCTGCAGATTTTTTTGTTCAGCATTATTATTTTTCAATGAATCTTATAAGGTGCTGAAAAATATTGGTGTCTGACATTTAAATAAACAGTAGAAGGAGTATTGTTATTACTAGGTATACTTGTTTTTCATTTACTGTAAAGCTTTTATGAAAAATTGACCATATAACCTATTAAGAAACTCCCTCACTTGATTTTGAGACTTACAACTCTTTACACTTTTTTTTTTGGAATATGCCTTTTGCAGATACATACAATGCACCCATAATCAGAAACGGATTAAGGGTGGGGCAGGGTGTCCCCTCTTTTGTTTGAAAAAATTTGGTTCATTATATAGGAAATCACTGAAGCATGACTGGAGCTGGCCCCTCTAAGGCAGTCAGTGCCCCCTCTTTATGATAATTTCTGGATCCGCCAATGATAATATATTTCAAAAAGATTTTTTTTTATTTTTGTTAAGAATGTATCCTTATCCAGTTTCAGATAAATGTTCAATTTATCTACAAAATTAACAATATCAAATTTATAAAAAAAAATCCAAAATCTTATGAGAACCTCGCAATACACTTGAAGTTGTTATTATGTTAATTTTGGAACAGATTGAAAGACTAAAAAATCGTTGTGAAATTAATTCTGGAAAAAAATATTCTTTTGAAAATATGATGTAAAAATTTTTCAATTATAATGGATAAATGAAAATCCAGAATCCTAAACTAAAATTGTCTAGAAAAAATGTATTCAAGTATTAAGTGGTACACCAAGTGTTATCCATGCTTCAAGAAGAGGTTATTTTGTAAATATGTTTGATGGCACACTACTTCCACAAATTATTTTTTACATTTTGGACAAAGCCACTTTCCCCTTGGTTTCCTTACAATGTTAACACATTGATAATGGAACCATCCAATATCACATGAGTCTCCATCACAAAAAATCATCTTGCCATATTCTGGTTCTTCACACAAGCAATACTTCTCTTTTGTGACGTCATTGACTGAAGTGTTGGCTACTTTATAATCATGTAGCAATTTCCTGGTAAGTAGCTCTGGGATTAATAGCTCTTTAACAAAGTAAGTGCACTTACTTATTAAATGATTACAAAACTCAGGATCCCTGCAAATTCTAACAATAGCAAGCAAAATAACATCATTAGGACTTGTCATTACAACAAAATCACAATAATCAGTGTCATAGACAAACATCTGAAACTGAACCTGAGTGTAATATTTGTGGTTATTTTTCAAGTGTAAGTTTGTGTCCAAACAAAATGTAGGGTCTTGATTTGCAGCTTCTATTGAAGTTTTGTCTTTATGCTTGTGGGGACATTTAATCTCAAGGGTTCCTTGTCCACAACAATTGCATGAAATCACACCATCAGCTGAAGCACCAAGAAAATAATTTTTTTCAGATATCTTCAACCCAGATAATTTACACTCAAAATTTGTATGTTTTTTTTCCATATATTGGATGTAGGCATCTCTGGTTGTTGCTTCATTTTCCAGCCCCCATTTTATGGCCTCTTTTTTACTGAGATCATATGAGTTGTATCCTGCAAGTCTCATGATCAATTTATTAGGATTTGTAGTTGGTCTTAATGTTAAAACCTCATGAGCTTTTGAAGCTGTTATTCGACCTTTTCTGTGTTCAAACCAAAGGGTACTTATATTTTGAGATTCAGTAATTTTGAATAAATTTGCAGATTGAGAAGTTGAGCAATGATAGTTCCTAAAAAGTTGATCTGATTTGTTGATTAATTCCTGTTCAGTTAGTTCTTTATTAATGACATCATAATAACTTGTAAGAGGTCTAGGTAATTTTTCTTCTTTTGTATGTTTAACCTTGACTGATGTTTCTCTAGTTACTTCATCATTCATTGGAGGAATGAGAGAAAAGAATGCAGCATTAGGACACACCTTAGAGAAAGATTCTAACACATCTTTGCCTGGTAATGGATCTTTGCTTGATGGTATAACACATTCCAATTTTTTTTTTCTGTTACTGTTCATAAGGTGCTGTATATCCATAATTGAGCTGACATCAACCTAACAACACAAAGATATCAATTTTTAGCTTACCGGCCCAAAAGGCCAAGTGAGATTTTTCCATCTCTTGGCATCTGTCGTCGTCCATTAACTTTACCACAAATCTCTCTGTAATTACTGGGCCAAATTTAAACAGACTTTTGAGTTATCTTTCCCTTGTTGAGAGTTTTTCGGACTGTTTAAACTCAATTTTAAAGTAAAAACAGTTAAGTAACAGAGTCAAGTATTTATTAAATAATTCTTTTTTTTTTTGTATGCTTTACAGTTTCTGTACATAAATAACTTGAGAAAACCAGTGTTGTATTTTCAACTTATACAAGACTCCAACCTTAATTAAGAATTAATAAGTGTTATCACTCTTTGTACACCTGATATAGACTACACTTGATAACTTTGTATAGTTTATTGTACATGTATTATTGTCTTATTAATCATTATAATCAGTTGAAAGATTTGCAAGTGTTTGTGAATAAGTTATATATTTTTTTCATGCTTGTAATGATTCATTTGTTTAATAAGTTTATTGTAAAGTTGAAGTGACATAACTTTTTGTATGCTTTACAGTTTCTGTATATAAATAACTTGAGAAAACCAGTCTTGTATTTTCAATTTTATATACAACACTCCAACCTTAATTAAGAACTAATAAAAGTTATCTCTATTTGTACACCTGATATAGACTACACTTGATAACTATGTATAGTTTATTATACATGTATTATTGTCTTATTGTCTTATTAATCATTATAATCAGTTGAAAGATTTGCAAGTGTTTGTGAATAAGTTATTTTTTTTTTCAATGCTTGTAATGAGCCATTCGTTTAATAAGTTTATTGTAAAGTTGAATTGACATGACTTTTTTTTCATGCTTGTAATGAGTCATTGGTTTGATAATGTTACAAAATATCATATAATAGGAATTGTATAAATTCTATGAAATAAAGTTTACACAAAATTTGATAATTTGTTAAGTGTGTAAAGTTATCACCAGTCAAGAAAAGCATGTAATTTTTATCCATAAAATGTTATGACGTTGTAAGAATATATAGGTGTCATTTCAGAAGACATTTGTTTTCCAGACAATAACTTGAGTAAAGGTGAACAGATCTCTATAAAATTGTACCACAAGGTACCATACCAAAAAAAAAAGTAGTTGGGATTGATATTGGGCCCAGTTTTCAAGTTGGTCCAAATTGGGGTCCAAAATTAAACTTTGTTTGATTTCAACAAAAATTGAATATATGGGGTTCTTTGATATGCTGAATCTAACCATGTATTTAGATTTTTTATTTGTGGACCCCACTATCAAATTGGTTCATATTGAGGTCAAAAGGGTCCAAAATTAAACTTTGTTTGATTTCATCAAAAATTGAATTATTGGGGTTCTTTGATATGCCAAATCTAACCGTGTTTTTAGATTTTTAATTTTGGGTCCCGTTTTTTAAATTGGTCTACATTAAGGTCCAAAGGGTCCAAAATTAAACTTAGTTTGATTTTAACAAAAATTGAATTCTTGGGGTTCTTTGATATGCTGAATCTAAACATGTGTTTAGATTTTTGATTATGGGCCCAGTTTTCAAGTTTGTCCAAGTTGGGGTCCAAAATTAAACTTTTTTTGATTTCGACAAAAATTGAATATATGGGGTTCTTTGATATGCTGAATCTAACCATGTTTTTAGATTTTTTATCTGTGCGCCCCGCTATCAAATTGGTTCATATTGAGGTCAAAAGGGTCCAAAATTAAACTTTGTTTGATTTCATCAAAAATTGAATTATTGGGGTTCTTTGATATGCCAAATCTAACCGTGTTTTTAGATTTTTAATTTTGGGTCCCGTTTTTTAAATTGGTCTACATTAAGGTCCAAAGGGTCCAAAATTAAACTTAGTTTGATTTTAACAAAAATTGAATTCTTGGGGTTCTTTGATATGCTGAATCTAAACATGTGTTTAGATTTTTGATTATGGGCCCAGTTTTCAAGTTTGTCCAAGTTGGGGTCCAAAATTAAACTTTTTTTGATTTCAACAAAAATTGAATATATGGGGTTCTTTGATATGCTGAATCTAACCATGTATTTAGATTTTTTATCTGTGCGCCCCGCTATCAAATTGGTTCATATTGAGGTCAAAAGGGTCCAAAATTAAACTTTGTTTGATTTCATCAAAAATTGAATTATTGGGGTTCTTTGATATTCCAAATCTAACCGTGTATTTAGATTTTTGATTTTGGGTCCAGTTTTCAAATTGGTCTACATTAAGGTCCAAAGGGTCCAAAATTAAACTTTGTTTGATTTTAACAAAAATTGAATATATGGGGTTCTTTGATATGCTGAATCTAAACATGTATTTAGATTTTTGATTTTTGGCCCAGTTTTCAAGTTGGTCCAAATTGGGGTCCAAAATTAAACTTTGTTTTATTTCAACAAAAATTGAATATATGGGGTTCTTTGATATGCTGAATCTAACCATGTATTTAGATTTTTTATTTGTGGACCCTGCTATCAAATTGGTTCATATTGAGGTCAAAAGGGTCCAAAATTAAACTTTGTTTGATTTCATCAAAAATTGAATTATTGGGGTTCTTTGATATTCCAAATCTAACCGTGTATTTAGATTTTTAATTTTGGGTCCCGTTTTTTAAATTGGTCTACATCAAGGTCCAAAGGGTCCAAAATTAAACTTAGTTTGATTTTAACAAAAATTGAATTCTTGGGGTTCTTTGATATGCTGAATCTAAACATGTGTTTAGATTTTTGATTATGGGCCCAGTTTTCAAGTTTGTCCAAGTTGGGGTCCAAAATTAAACTTTTTTTGATTTCAACAAAAATTGAATATATGGGGTTCTTTGATATGCTGAATCTAACCATGTATTTTGATTTTGGACATTGGACCATAATAGGTAAATTAAAAAAAATCAAATTCTTAGACCACATTTTTTCTGTGTCAGAAACCTATGCTGTGTCAAATATTTAATCACAATACAAATTCAGAGCTGTACCAAGCTTGAATGTTGTGTCCATACTTGCCCCAACTGTTCAGGGTTCGACCTCTGCAGTCGTATCAAGCTGCGCCCAGCGGAGCATTTTATTTATTGGTTTATGTAAATAAGTTTGAGTTATTTGTTTTGAAAAGTGATGTGTTTAATTGATAGATATAAAATCATATCTAATTTTAGAGATTTATGAGTGGTTAAGTCATATCTAATTTTAGAAAATTATTTTGTTGTTTTGTTACTGGTTCATGGAAATAAATTTGAGTTTTATCTTGTAAACAGTCGAGATCCCCACCCCAAAACTGTATATATTCTTGTATGGGACAATAAAACAAATGAAACGAAATATTGGGGGAGCTTTTCATTATTAATAAGATAATACCACATTGAGGTCCAAATGGTCCTAAATTAAACTTTTGTTTAATTTCATCAAATATTGAATTCTTTGGTTCTTTGATATGCTGATTCTAACAATGTTTGAGTGTTAAATCATATCTAATTTTATAGAACTTAGTCATCACTGGTTGTTGTTATTATATTATTGATTATAATTTGAAACATTGCATCATATCTTATTTTAGAGAACTATTTATCCAGTTTGAGTTATTTCCATTTGCACGGAAAATATCATGGATAAAATTAACCTGTGTTTCATTTCAACATAAATTAAATATATATATAGGGTTCTTTCAAATGCTGAATCTAAACTCTATTTAAATATTAGATTTTTAGGCCCAGTTTTCAAGTTGGTCCAAATCAGGGTCCAAAATTAAACTTTGTTCGATTCGACAAAAATTGAATTTATGGGGTTCTTTGAAATGCTGAATCTAACCATGTATTGAGAGATTTTGGATTGTGGGCTCCTTTATCAAATTGGTCCACATTGAGGTCCAAAGGGTCCTAGATTAAACTTTTGTCTGATTTCATCAAAAATTGAATTCTTGGGTTTCTTTGATATGCTGATTCTAATATGTACTTAGATTTTGGATATTGGACCATAATAGGTATTTAAATGTCCAATTTCAAATATATCAGTTCTTTGACTACATTCATTTTGTGTCACAAACCTATGATGTGTCAAATATTCAATCACAATCCAAATTCAGAGCTGTTTTAAGTTTAAATGTAGTGTCCATACTTGCTAAACTGTTCAGGGTTAGACCTCTGCATGAAAAACTGGTTTGCTGTCTCTCTGACAACCTCTTGTTAAGACTTGGTATAAATTTCTTTTTTTGGGACCAATTTCAAGGCGGTTGATAATTCAAAGTTTTTAATTCGTGGGATTCTTTAATATGCTAAATCAAACTATGTATTTGGATTTGATATATTTGGGCCTGGTTTTCAAATTGTTCCTTATTGAGGTCCAAAGTGTCCAAAATTTTACTTTATTTGATTTTATCAAAGTAGAAGTTTTTGAGTGCTTTATTTTTATGCCCCCGCCGTAGCGGATGGGGCATTAAGTTTAACCAATGTCTGTCTATACATATGTCCGTCCGTACGTCCCGAAATTGGTTTCCGTTCTCTTACTTAATTTGTCTCAACCAAATATTATAAAACTTATACACAATGATTTTAACCACAAACCATAGATGAAGTTTGAATTTGGGTAGCGTCATTCATACCTTTCTGGAGTTATGCCCCTTTAAAAATGGAAAAATTGCTGAATTTTTCGTTTCCGTTCTCTATCTTAAGTTTACCTCATCCAAATGTTACGAAACTTATACATAATTTTAATTACCACAAAACACAGATCAAGTTTGAATTTGGGTGGCGTCACCTTTACAATTCTAGGGTTATGCCCCTTTATAAATGAAAAAATTACAAAATTTTTAGTTTCCGTTCTCTAACTTAAGTTTGCCCCAACCAAACATTATGAAACCTATACATGATACTTATTACCACAAAACTCAGAATTTTTTTCCCCTACATACCTTTATATAAATTTTTTTCGGAGACAAGTGCCTGTGTTTATGTTCTCTAACTTAAGTTGCCTCAACCAAATGTTATGAAACTTATACACAATGCTCATTACCACAAAACACAGATCAAGTTGAATTTTGGTAGCGTCACTTTAACCATTATCGAGTTATGCCCCTTTATAAATCCAAAAATTGCAAAATTTTTAGTTTCCGTTCTGTAACTTAAGTTTGCCCCAACCAAACATTATGAAACCTATACATGATACTTATTACCACAAAACTCAGATCTGGTACAAATTTGGGTAGGGTCATTTTTATATGACCGCAAAAAAATTTTGAGGTCGTATATTGGTATGACGTTGGCGTCGTCGTCGTACGGCGTCGTCGTCCGAATACACAATGGTTTTCGCACTCTAACTTTAGTTTAAGTGAATTGATCTCTATGAAATTTTACCATAAGGTTCAATACCACAATAGGAAGGTGGGGATTGATTTTGGGGGTTATGGTACCAACAGTTAAGGAATTAGGGGCCGAAAATAAGCATTTTTGTAACTTCCAGACATAACTTGTGTGTTAGCATATGGATCTCTTTGACATTGTACCACAAGATTCCATATCACAAAGGGTCAATGCTGGGATTGATTTTGGGGTTAATTGCCTCAAAATTTTAGGAAGAAGGGGCCAAAAGGGGGCAAAAAACAAGCATTTTTCTAGTTTCATGACAATAACTTGTGTGTAAGTGTATGGATCTTTCTGAAATTTTACTACAAGGTTCCATTTCACAAAGGGAAAGCTGGAATTGAGTGTTGTGGTAATTGCCCAAAACGTTTAGTAATAAGGGGCCTAAAAAAGGGTTTAAAATAAGCATTTTTTAGTTTCTAGACAATAACTTGTGTTCAAGTGTATGGATCTCTCTAAAATTGTACTACAAGGTACCATACCACAAAGGCAAGGCTGTTATTGAGCTTGGTTTGGGGGGAAAGGGGGGGTGGGGGTGATGAATCATAAGGGGGGCGGGGGTCAAAAAAGGGGTAATTTTTTTTTTTCCTTTTTTTTTTGTTTAAAATTTACATTTTAAGTTAGTTATTTTTTTTCACGAAGAGAAAGTAGGAATTGAGTTTTGGGGTTAATTGCTCAAACATTTATGAATAAGGGGCCAAAGATTGGTCAAAAATAAGGATTTTTTTAGTTTGCAACAAAAACTTGTGTTCAAGTGTATGGATCTCTGTGAAATTGTATTGCAATGTACCATACCACAAATTGAAGGTTGTGATTGAGGTGGGGGATGATGAATCAAAAGGGGGTTGAAAAAATGTGTGGGAGGTAGGATTTTTTTTTTTCCTTTTTTTTTCTTTAAAATTTTCCATTTAAAGATGGTTGTTTCAGATTTATATATGAAAGAAAATAATAATGATACGGTTATATATCATGAGGAATTGAAATTTAAAATTATGTATATTGGAAATTTAATTACATTGGAAAGTAATAATTGGCTTTGGGGGGGTGGGGGTTATGGCTCTAATGTTTAAGGAATAAGGGGAAAAAAGGTTAAAAAACAAGGGTTTCCATTTTAATAGACAAATAATTGAGTAAAGAACATTATTTAAAAGCAGTGTAAGGTTGGTAATTCAAACTCATTTAAATATCTCATCTACACTGCTTTTGAATTATGTAAATTGGAAATTTGCCAATAACTTTATTGTTAATAATTGCATTGGAAATTTGCCAACAATTTTAGTGTAATAAACTTCATTGGAAATTTGCCAATATAAAATTTTGCTGATGAAGGTTTTTTGTTTACCTTTAGCCTTGACTATGAAGTCATTTTCTATTTTTATAGCCTTATGATGTAGTTGAATTATTTAATACTTTTATGATGTGTTTAAATGGGGTTTTATCATGTTTATGGTTGCAAATTTATTGTTTTAGTATAATAAACTCCATTTAAAATTTGCCAATAAAAAAAAATTTTGTTTATTTTTAGCTATAATTATGATGTCATTTTCTATTTTACTTTTATGGTTGCAAAGAAATTTTTATTTTTAGATATTACTGTTAAATGATGCTGATTAAGGTTTTTGCTATGTTTAGCCATGACTATGATGTCATTTTCTATTTTAATATCTGTTATGATGTATTTAAATGGGCTTTTATGGTTACAAAGGAATTTTATTTTTAGATATTACTATAAAATGTTGCTGATGCTGATTAAGGATTTTGTTTATTTTTAGCCATGACTATGATGTCATTTTCTATTTTAATACCTTTATGATGTAATATCCATTTTTAGATATTACTGTTAAATGATGCTGATTAAGGGTTTTTAGCTATGTTTAGCCATGACTATGATGTCATTTTCTATTTTAATATCTTTATGATGTATTTAAATGGGCTTTTATGGTTACAAAGGAATTTTATTTTTAGATATTACTTTAAATGTTGCTGATTAAGGATTTTTGTTTATTTTTAGCCATGACTATGATGTCACTTTCTATTTTAATACCTTTATGATGTATTTAAATGGGCTCCCATGTATTTAGATTTTTGATTATTTATACATGTTACCAAATTGGTCCACATTGAACAAAAACGGTCCAAATTTCAACTTTATTACATTACATCAAACATTGAATTCTACATATTCTTTGATATATTGAAATTAACAAACAATTTAGTTTATGGATATTCCACCATAATAGGTAAATTAAATTTTTTCCAGTTCTTACACCACATTCATCCTGTGTCAGAAACCTATGCTGTGTCAAATATTTAATGACAATCCAAAGTCATAGCTGTATCAAGCTTGAATTTTGTGTCCATACTTGCCCCAACTGTTCAGGGTTCGACCTCTGCGGTCGTATCAAGCTGCGCCCCAGCGAAGCATTTTATTATTATTTTTGAGTTATGTCCCTTTATAATGTTGTATGCAAGTGGGGCATCATCTGTGTCCATGGGGACACATTTTCCTTTTTTATGCCCCCACCGTAGCGTAGGAGCATTAAGTTTTACCCTTGTCCGTCTGTACGTACGTACGTCCCAAAGTTGTTTCCGTTCTCTAACTTTAGTTTGCCTCAACCAAATGTTAAGAAACTTAAACACAATGCTTATTACCACTAAATACAGATCAAGTTTGAATTTTGGTGGCGTCACTTTTACCGTTTTAGAGTTATGCCCCTTTACAAATGAAAAAATTGCTAACTTTTTCGTTTCCATTCTCTTACTTAAGTTTGCCTCAAACAAATAATATGAAACTTATACACAATGCTTATCAACACAATATACAGATCAAGTTTGAATTTTGGTGCAGTCACTTTTACTGTTCTAGAGTTATGCCCTTTACGAATGGAAAAATTGCTAAATTTTTCATTTTTTTTCTAAATATCAAGTAATTTTTAAAATTGGAGTTATCTTCCTTTGTACAATATTATAGTTGAATCAACTACAATCAATGCTTTATACGATGCAATGTTTAATTTTGCCTTCCACTGATAAATTAAAGCAATTTTTATCCTTCATTCCTAAAAATATTTCATAGTCTACTTTGAAAATTGGAGTTATCTTTCTTTGTGCATAATATTCAATTTTACTTCCTACTGATAAATTAAAGCAATCTTTATCCTTCATTCCTAAAAATATTTCATCGTCTTCTTTGAAAATTGGAGTTATCTTTCTTTGTGCATAATGGTAGTTAAATCAACTACAACCAATGCTTTATACAATGCAATATTCAATTTTACTTCCTACTGATAAATTAAAGCAATCTTTACCATTCAGTGCTTACAAGCTGTTTGATTACCGTTCTAGGGTTATGCCCCCTTTACAAAAAAAAAAATTGCTGAATTTTTCGTTTCCATTCTCTAAACTTATACGCAATGCTTATTACTACATAATACAGATTAAGTACGAAATTTGGTGGTGTCACTTTTACCATTCTTGAGTTATGTCCCCATATAAACATAAAAATTGCTGAATTTTTTGTTTCCGTTCTCTAACTTTAGTTTGTCTCAACCAAATGTTATAAAACATATACACAACCTTTCTAGAGTTATGCGTGTTTACAAATAGAAAAATTGCTGAATTTTTATTTTATCAATATTTTCATTACCAAATGATTAAGTTGAATAATCATTAAATGGTTTGAGTGAGAGAAGAAAGTGTGGAATTATTGATGGTTACATAGTAAAGAAGTGATGTTGTTATGAATTGTTTGAATATTGTATACAATTTTTAATAATCAACATCAGAAAATAGTGTGCGTATTTATTTATTTACTGGAAAACTAACAAAATCAGGGTCACAACTCAACCAATCAGTATCATCTATTATGTGATACATAGCATTTCCACCACAGTATTGTTTTTTTTTAGTGTAGATCAAAAATACTCAAAGAAGAAGTCCAACTCCTATATTATAAATTATACCTGTTTTCTAAAAACTTTGTTCCATTTACATTCTTCACTAGTAACTGATTTTTGTGTCACACCATATCTAACTCCTAACTCTATTTTAAACAGAACTGCAGCAATGTGACTGCACATTTCTCCCAATCTGAATTAAATGTAATAAAGCATATCTAGTATTTGCCACAGTATTCGGTATAAAGCAATCCCCAGTCAACATATATTGTACTATCTAAAATATTAAGGAGATGTGGTATGATTGCCAATGAGAAAGCTATCCACCAGAGTTCAAATGACGTGGATATTTTTCCTAAATTTGCTTTTGTTTAGTTTCTATGCTACTTGTTCAGAAGACCATTATGTAATTAAAAAAAAATGCATTCTTCGTGTGAAATGTCCAATTTGGTTAGGTCAAATTTAACTGTAGAAAGGTGTATTTTCTGCCTCTAGACATATTGTAATTTTTCAGTCATATCCTAACACATTATATTGATATGAATAAAAGGAGATATGGGAAACAAAATCAATGAGACAGCAAACCAAATGACAAAAGTAATCAAAAGGCATCTAGAGAGCTACATACATTTTTATGCCCAAATTATGGGCATAATTTTTTTCGGTCTGTGCGCCCATCCGTTCCAGTTCAGGTTAAAGTTTTTGGTCAAGTTAGTTTTTAAAGAAGTTGAGGTCCAATCAACTTGAAACTTAGCACACATGTTCCCTAAGATATGAGAATTATAATGCCGAATTAGTGTTTTGACACCAATTTCACGGTCCAGTAGTGTGAGTGGGGCATCTGTTTACTATGGACAGATTCTTGTTTTAAATATACATGTTTAATTGAGGTCTGGAGCTGGCATGTCAGTAACTGCTAGTAGTCTGTTGTTATTTATGTATTATTGTCATTTTGTTTATTTTCTTTTGTTTCCTATTCTGACATCGGACTCGGACTTCTCTTGAACTGAGCGTACTGTTGTACGTTTTTTTAGAGGGAAGGTTGAGATCTCAAAAAACATGTTTAACCCCGCCGCATTTTTGCGCCTGTCCCAAGTCAGGAGCCTCTGGCCTTTGTTAGTCTTGTATCATTTTTAATTTTAGTTTCTTGTGTATAATTTGGAGTTTAGTATGACGTCCATTATCACTGAACTAGTTTACATATTTGTTTAGGGGCCAGCTGAAGGACGCCTCCGGGTGCGGGAGTTTCTCGCTGCATTGAAGACCCATTGGTTGCCTTCGACTGTTTTCTGCTCTATGGTCGGGTTGTTGTCTCTTTGACACATTCCCCATTTCCATTCCCAATTTTATGTAAAAGAAAGGCATCTATACTATATATATGCATTGCTATAAATTGTCTAAGAATAAAACAACATTAAGGTCCAATTCATTTAATATAATGAATATTATGTTTGAAGAAAGATATCTTGACTTTTTGTCAGACAGAAAGCAGTAACAAGCATACATTATATATTGATTTGTATGACTATAAATATCATTAGGAACATCAGTCCCAATGTAACCCGTGTTTTACCATTCCATGTGAATGAATTTGGCTAGAAATCATGAAACAAAGGGTAAGAGTTCCATATGGCCCCCACCATACTAAAAGAACACAATAATGTATTACAGTTTATTACGTGGGGGTGCCATATTGAACTCTTTCCAAACAAATGATATCATCATGATCATATGAAAGCTGGACATGATTTGAATTGGAAAGAGCTTATATTTTGCTCATTGATTTCAAGTAAAACAAAAATTTTGGAATATGATTTCTTATGTTTGTTACAAATATCTGACCTGAAGTACTGTAATGATGCTTAAAAACAATAAAAATGATTGTATTTCATGTGCAAATGAAGAATATTTCAAAGATCTACATTTGACTGATACATTGTAAGCCATTTAAATTGCATTTGTTTTAATATTATTCATAATGGAGTAATGCCCAAGTGGGTCATTAAAAAAATAAGTTGAGCAATTTTTCAAAATGAATAAAATTGATTGATTGATTGATTGTTGGTTCCTTAATGTCCAGTGGCAAATATTTCATGCATATTCAGGACGAAAATAAAATTTAGAGATAACTGTATTGTATTGTAATCTTTGCGGACGTCCATCGGTAGTTTTACTGTCGCTAATATATTTTACCTGGTGACGCGTAGCTGAGGCTGGTAAACAGATATTTGCGACAGTAAAACTGCGGATGGATGTCCGCAAAGCTTCAAATACAATACAGTTATCTTTATTCAAATGCAAAATAAACAAGTCATTCAAGTTTAGTCATTATTTCAGTGTAAAATATTCATTAAACGAAAATTCCGCGAATGATATGACATGTATCTTCTTTGGTGCCTAAAGTAGGTGACATCATAGGTATGCTTCCAGCATCAAACGCAAACACCGGACGTTTTCTAACTTCTTGTCCGCTTCAGAATGTAATAAAACTTGATAAAAAGAATGCGGGAATTTCTCGCTGCATTGAAGACCTGTTGGTGACCTTCTGCTGTTGTCTGTTCTATGGTCGGGTTGTTGTCTCTTTGACACATTCCCCATTTCCATTCTCAATTTTATTCTAAATGCAAAATGTTAGTTTTTTTGGCTTATTATTGAAGAAATCACATGTCAATACATTCCGGTATCCAAATGTCTGTTTCCTTAGTTACAGACAGGGAAATAGAGAATTTTACACTCATTGTCATCCAATCAGAACCATTGATACAAAATAATTGCATTAGAATAAAATTTATACCCAAATTAACCATACCCTGCTAGACATGTACAATGTGCACAATAAATGTCTGCTGTATCTTTAGCTAGGCAGACCCAAGGTTGGTGTGGTTTGTCCCGGATTTTCATCGACCCTATTACATCAGCTTTCAAAAAACAGAAAGGACTTCCGTTGACGTCATAAATCTTTATCTGGTCTACATGACCACTTTCAACATACCTGAATAAGTACAATAAGAAAACATACTTCTGAGTAATAGTTTGAAAATATAAAATAACAGTAGAAAAGTCAGACAAAAATATAGTTTTGTAAGCTTAAATTTAATTTTTTTTTTCAAATGTACTTTGAATATGCATAAATAATTTTCTTTATAATATATATATATATTTATATATATTTAATTTACTAGAAATATTTTTCACAACTTTGGATTGATATTCCTGGTGGAGGCACAAGGCAGTTTCCTCCATTTGCACCAGCAAAAATGTTATGTGTACCCATATTTATGATAAAGTTAATTTGACTGAAATACTGAATAGGAAAAAAATCATGTAAATGATGTCATTAATTATCTTATCAAATGCATGTATAAAAATATTTAAATATTTTCTTGTAAATAATAAATGACATTCAGATTTTTAAAGATAACAAACGATGTCAAACACTAAATTTGAAGAAATTTTTAACAATTTTAACATGTAAAAAACTGAACAATTTCATGCATTAATATATAGTATGGGTACAAGTAACATAGTAAATGTAAGCCTTGGGTGGGAATCGAACCCACGTACCAGGAACAGCAATCCAAACTTTTTGAAAGTCAAGACTGCATCTGACTTGCTTAACTTTCAAGAAAATGGCTTGTACACATGCATGCCATGAGAAATGTCCAACTTCAGGCCATTAATTTAGTCTGTTTGTTGATAACAATCCCCACCCTAATCTAAATAGGATAATAATATACATACCATGTTATGCACACATGATTCCTAAGGTTATCCTCCCTCAGGTTTGATAAATATTAGTGTGTAAAGAGTTCTGGTCATCCCCAAGGTCATAAACTCAACAATGAAAATGACAGAAATGTCTATGCTAGTTAATCAAAACAATAATACATGTAATATGATTTTCTAAATTATATGAGTCCGAGTCGATGATAATATGACAAATTGATTAAAAACTTGACATTTTAACTCATCTTTTGTTGAAGCAGGTATGATAATCCCTCATCTTAAAACAACTACATTTATAGACTAAAAAAATAAGCTAGGACAAAGTTAAGTTGGAAGGTTGAACACAAGTCAAAGTCTGCATAAAGTGAAAAGGTGTGCAAACAATTATCAGTGTTCCCGCCTGCCCTAAATAGAAGGGCAGCCGCCCTTGTCCCCACCCTTCTGCGCTCAAAAGCATTGATGATTAATGATCATTCATATCCTCTTAATGGGACTATATTTTGAATTTCTACACATAGTTACAGTAAAAGAGACATCATCTTGCTGTTCACTGTACCAATAGCATCACTTAACAGTAAATAGATAAGGAGATGTGGATTGAAAGCTTACTAAACAGACATTCACCAAAAGTTGTGAAAAACTCTATATCTATGTGAAAGTACAACTGTCTACAATGAGCAGAATCATACAATTTGAGCTATAGAAGGCCAAAAAATAGGGCTTACAAAATGAGTAAATTTATACAACACTGAAAATTAATAATTTTAAATCGTAAGAAAAAAAACAGCCTGAGAACAACCATCTAATGTGGAAGGGGATACATGTACTTATTTTATGCTCAAAAATTCTTTTTCATGTATATAAAATGTTAGAATATTCAAGTTTTATTGGATAAAATTAAAGATTATTATTTAAGTAGCTAGTTTTGATTTAAATGCACTGATAGTGCCAAATAAAAAACATTTGTAAGTCTGGATAGTTGTTGAAAAAAGGGGACCCAAGCATATGATGTGATTCTGTTATGCCTAACTTATGGTGTCTTTACTTAGGGCAAAACATTGTCATTTGGCAGAACATGCCATAAAATTCAAAGTTTATATTTCTACCACTGAATATTGATTCTGGTTAGGGGGTTTACTTTAATACCCATAAATGCGAGTGCCACTCGTTTATGAGGATCTTCCCCATTTTGTTAAACTGGTGCCCAGATACCCTTTTCAAATTAAATGGTCGTTCTCTAATTCAATGTTGAAACGCGGAAAAAAAATAAGTGACTCTACCTATATGCTTCTAAGCTTTTATATGCTTTCATAGAACTTTTGCTAAACATGGCCGGAGTTTCAATTAGGTACAGATAAACTTGACCGAAGTCAAGTTCAGGCCACATACTCGGGTCGTTCACCCATTCAGAATTGGGAACTGTGTATGGATCAGGGAGGGTTTCGGTTCCTTTGTTGAAAGTTAACTTTTCGCTATATCTTATTCTTGCCTCAGCCGGTAACCCGTACGCATACGGAGACAACTTTTTTTCTCTTTCCATTATTTATCTTTTCCCGCCCATGACAACAACAATAACAAGTATGGCGGATTTTGACGGCCAGTTCATTGCGCAAGCGCGGAAAAGGGAATTCCGTAAAATCTCCTATAGCTACGCCCCTGAAAACAAATTGAAAACATTTTATTTTTAATAAAATAACTATCTTTACCTTTACTGTAATGAAATTCAAACTTAAAAAAAATCCATTGGAAAATATAAAAAGTTATTGCATTTTGAATAAAATCGAGTCGTATTTTTTCAGGTCTATTCAGATCCACGTTCAGGTTTTTAGTGTAACCTGACAGTGGAAGGTCAGAGGTGCAACAAGTTATGTGTACAGAAGCCCCATTAAGAAATTGATAAAAGTAAGGCTCCTGTGGGTTTTTATAGAGGATTATTGCAAACCATAATGTTTTTAGTACTATTATCAGTCAGTGTCTTAATTCGTCTATTTAATCACAAATTTCGAATTCAGAATTCCAATGTCTCACATCACAATATTGAGGTAACCACAAACTTCTAGATAGATACCCTTCGTCTAGACTAAAGGAAGGAAGTACGTCAATAAATGACAATATGGACATGTGGTATCGGAAAGCGGGATTATGAATGATGGAAAAAAGCAACGAAGACAAGGATCCTGCATTAGAGAGTGACGAACTGTTACCTCAAAATAATACAACCGCTGAATATGAGAGGCAACTTCCTGCATCTCAACTTTCTCAGTTAGATGACAGTTTTGGATTATTTACTATCTCGGCGCGTGGTTCTAATGTACATGTAGGACCCAACCACAAAAGGAGACCACACAGAGGCAGAAGAGGTTCGTCATCACGTTCATCGGATAAAAGTCTTGATTCGCCATATTTAGGTGGAAAATTAAAGATTTTACCTTCATCAACATGTCATTGGAATATCGTTTGTCTTGATTCACTTGGCGTTATTTACAGTGATACATATTTTCCGTCACCCTTAGATGTTCTTAATTTTATTTTAGAGAAAACTGGCAATTTTGGACCACTGACGGAAAACGATAAAGAACATGTAAAAAATGTGCAGGATAGTATGTCTTTCAGTATGTCTGTTCAAGAATTACTTCAATTAACCACTGATAAACGTGAAAGTGTATTGATTCCAGTGTCCAAGCAAATAGAAAAGGACTTGGACAGTCTGTGTAGATCAGAGTTCAGGTAATTGTTCATATTTCAGTAATACTTTAAATAAGATTGATACATGTAGGTACTTTATTCTCCAAAAACTATAAATACAAGTTTACTGATCATGAGAAACAAACAGTATCAATAAACAAAAATACAATAGTTGTAAAGTTGATGGTTACAAATGCAAATGGGTATCGGGTCTGTTCGCTCCAAATACACGTTTGCACCCTACATGTATTTTTATTTAAATACTGGTTGTTTTTTAGATGTATTATCAAAATATTTAGATTTTTATGAATAAAATTCGGGAATTTTTAAATGAAATATTTTATTTGATGATTTGATGATTAATTATTAAATGTTAATTGGTATTTACAAAGCCACATTTGGTACATATTGTATTTTGGTGTTTGAAAATCATGATTGTTGTTATACATGTAACTCGATGTAAATACTGCAGTAGTTAGCTTGGTATGACATGTATGAGTAAACTCAATGAAAAATAATTAGTATCTTCCACCTTTCTTTTACAATTCTTAGATGAACAAACTTTGCTTTTATCATCACTGGGACATGTATTGTATAATAGCAGTCTCACTAATTAGCGATAAGAAAGTTTACATACTATTCAAAAACAACAAATTTATAAAAAAAAGTTCATTGATTACAGCTTTTTATATTTGTTTTATGGAGTTTAAGATTTTGTTGCATTTAGTAGCTACATGTATGCCGTATGGTAGTGATTTATTATAATTATGTATATAATAATTAAGAAATAATTCATTGTTACCATAGATTTGTTGGAAATTTACACATGGCCTGGGCCGTGAAATTCAAATTTTATCCTGAGCGTTAGCGAGTGCCTGTGTTTAAATTTACAACAAATCTATGGCTTCCATGAATTATTTCAATTTTAATAGGACAAATACAGTCATTTAAAAAGCTGAAGTGAGAATGGGTATGCAGCGTGTGTGGCTGTACTATATTACCCCCGGTTAGATAAAGCTAAAAATTTCCAATAAATCTATAGCTTGTGTGAATTATTTCTTAAATAACCGCTAGAAAAAATGTGTTTAATTCTTTGAATTCTCAACCCCAACATTTGCCATTCTTAATTTACATTTTTTTTTCTCGTAAGCTACCATCAAATCCACACAGTTGACATTTCGTAAATAAGGAGCAGCCATGTTGACTTGCTGAAATCAGTGAACATGCAAATAATGCAATAGAATAGAAAATAAAACAACACCTACCTCAAAACTCCATTTTAATGCAATGTTATGTGAATTTGGAGGGTTCAGGCAACTGAAAAACCTTCAGCTTTGGTGTTTCATTTTAATGACGTCATGTTTTGAAATGACTTAAAGTCACTTAAATGCGCCAAAAGCATTTATGGAATTTCCCGGAATTTTATTTTATTTTGATTTTTACATTTTTCCGAGCTCTAATGCATTAATTCTTTTTGTTCTGTATTTTTTTTTAATTGCAATTTTTAACAACGAAACCGGCATAGAGTTTGCACATAAGTTACGATATGTACATGTGGATTTACGTGGGAGGTATATTGTAACAGCTATTATTATATACATCTCTGAGTCTGTGCTAAGTATACATGTAGATATATCGAGAATTTTATCAGGGTGTTGCAAGGTTGGCAAAAAAGCCGTCAATACTAGTATTGACTAGGCCGGCGGTAAATACCGGCAAATACTGGTCAATTGAAATTTTGATAGGATATTACTATTATATACATGTACAGTCCCTACCTAGTCAATTACTGGGTAAATGGACAGATTTAGTCACAGGGCAGAAAGTCACTTATTTACTACATTGTACAAGGACAAAAAGTCACAATTTTAATTAGTAAACAAGTGTTTGAATATGTAAGTCTAAGGGAAAATCCTTGAAATAAATTCATTTTAACGTTTATCATGTTTATGAGATTATTCATAAACATGGTTAAATGAAGATTTATTAAATATTAATCATACAAAGGATATTTCTCGGCACCATGAAGCCAGTCACTAAAAAGACTATGACAGCTTGTTTTCTTAACAGTAATTTCATCAAATGTAATAAAAAAATGTCCTAAAAAATAAGTCTTTTCTAATCAAAGAAACAGTTCTCTCAAAATTGAATTGTGAAATTCTGTCTTGTGATATTTTGCCCTACATGTACATTCAATAATTGTTAGTCATGAAAATATGAAAGTTTTCAAGTCAATATTAGACTTTTTTAATATTATCTTTTCTTATATAAATTGAAATTCTACATGAACACATCATGGACAAGGCTCCATGTTGAAGGCCGTACTTTGACCTATAATGGTTTACTTTTACAAATTGTGACTTGGATGGAGAGTTGTCTCATTGGCACTCATACCACATCTTCTTATATCTATCATGTCTATGATGGACAGTGATTATTAGAATATACATTTTTGTAATATTAAAGAAAAAGATAAAAACAGCAGCTCTATCAAACTTTCCATTTTCTGTATTTAGTTTAGAAGATATTTATCATGCGGTTGAATAGTCAGGAATAAAATCATTGTTTTAAACAGTCTTCAAAAATAACTTTTATGACTTTTTTCCTGTTATGTCAACATTTTTTAGGGGACAGTTGTAATATTAATTTAACTTTTGACACCTGCTTGCCATATAATAGGTAATGCTCTGATAATCTAGTCACCTGTCTATTTACCTGTTAAAATCAAATCTTTTCAAGAAAAATATATTGATTTAACTGATATAGCTTATTAGCAATTTTATATTCATACCTAAAGTATGTTATATCATTACCCCTAAGAACTAAATTTGTCCTTATTTATGTTTTATAGTTAATAAAAAACTCATATCATTTTTTTTTATAAACTGAATCATGCAATAGGAATAAAGTTAAAATAATTTCCCCTATCAACTAATGTTTAACTAGAATTGATAGTTAAATCTGTCGAAAGAACCATGAAAATTTCAATCAACCAGTATTGACTAGTTGAGGAGTATTGCCTGGGGCTAAAAATACCGATAAATACCACTGGTAAGAGGGTTAAAATCAGTTAGTACAATACTAATCTCCCCTGATGCCCTAGATAAATTGTGTAAATAAAAGCAAATGGCAGGATTTATACACCCCCCCCCCCCCCCCACAAAAAAAAATTACATGAGAGTAATTTGTTAAAAAAAAGTAAATTTGTAATCCTGAAAGTAATACAAATTAAATTTATAGAAAGAAGCTGCACACAGCAAAAATGATATATATAAGATGTATATTAAATGAGATAATCAACTTGATCATTGAGGGGGTAATTCCCTCAAAATTTTAGGAATTAGGGGCCATAAAAGGGCCAAAAAACAAGCATTTTTCTAGTTTCCAGAGAATAAATTGTGTTCAAGTGTATGGATCTCTCTGAAATTGTACTGCAAGGTACCATACCCCAAAGGGAAGGCTGGGATTGAGTTTGGGGGTGATGAATCATAAGGGGGTTCAAAAAATTTGGGGGGGGATTTTTTTTTCCTTTTTTTTCTTTCTTAGACCACTTTCATTCTGTGTCAGAAACCTATGCTATGTCAAATATTTAATTACAATCCAAATTCAGTGCTGTATCAAGCTTGAATGTTATGTCCATACTTGCCCCAACTGTTCAGGGTTCGACCTCTGCGGTCGTATCAAGCTGCGCCCCAGCGGAGCATTTTATTTAATATCTTATACATGTAATTGGTCAAAATTATTCACCGGACCCCACTCCTAAACCATATATATTCTGGTTTGTCATGCCAAGATGATTTGAATGTTCTACAGGGTAAGTCCCAAGGGGTCAGCCCCACCCCCTGTCATTTGAATACCGTATGTTTCAAATATCTTGTTAGAGGTGGAGATCTTGATTGCTGGAGAAAAAGGTTAAATATTATGAAATCTACAACCATTTGGCGCTGTGACATTTACAATTAATGCTCTTCATTCCTGTCATTAGTTGTTACTGCAGTATCCATGGCTTTTTATTTATATTTTCAGGCACAAATTAGATATTTCTAATCCAATTCATTTCATCAATGCTGTTCAAGTTATTATAGCATATCAGGATGCCCATTTCTTTGATAGAAAAGGATATAGAAAATCTCTTGGTGGTGTGCCAGAAGATATGTTTGTGGACATGGTCAAAGAATTTTCGAAATTGTGTAAACTGCTTCCTCTGTGAGTATTTTTCATTTGGATGAAAGTTTTCATATGGGGTCCATGAATCATATAGAAGCAACCATAACAAATGAAATAAAATTATTTTTTACATTAAAATAAGTTTCTCACATGTACATAGTTTCGAATTGGCCCCTTTAATTAATTCCATTTTCATCTTGCCTGCAACAAATGTCTTTGACCTCATCACATGCTCATTTTATGTTAAGTGATCATACATTAATTTCACATGATCATGATGACAGTCAGGGGTAATACTTATACTTTATTTACTTGAAGATGTAACTAATAAGTAATATAAGTTGCTTTCTTTAAAAAAAAAAAAAAGCATTACATGAACCGAGACCGCTGACTGGTCAACAAATATTTTTTGCTGAATTCATTTTTGCTTATGATTTGAAATAATTGACTGTTAATAGAATAGATGAGGTAATGTAGATATTAAAACACCTTTATTGAAAATATGTTATTGTGTGTAAATTTTTGCACAAGCCAATTAGTAAAATCAGTGTTGGATTTTAGTTGTAAATAGAAAATTGTATACAGCTACCATTTGACATTACCTTTTAAGGCTTGACTATTTTATTTATTACTTGGGAGTGTACATCATATTTTCTCCGTGGTTTATGTACAAAGACCTAATCCTATTGCAATTCTCAATTTCTGCAAACCAGATGTCTAAAGCAAATTGCACAGACCAATCAAGATATAAAGTTCAGCACTCAGTTTGCTTTATAATCTGGATGCGTCATACACATTATTTTATCTTTCATATCTTCATATTTTGTTTCCTAAATGCTTCAAAGTATTTTTATACTCATTGAAGCTGTCTGTACTCATGGAAGAGGTGGTATAGAAAAATTGAAAGTCCAATTTCCATGTGAAGTATAACTCTGTGACACAAGTTATAAGAAGATTTCGTATTTTGTTCTTGAAGTAACACACCAGCTTCATTAGGACCTCTTATATACTGACAATTATTTTGGTCAGATAAAACATTTCCAATTTTAAGGATTTCCTGAAGTTACTTAAATCAATTAAAAAATTCGACAGGAAAACTTAGTTTTGATAAATATCTTGTTTTCATAAGTCTAGTGAATACCCCAACATGCACTCAAAAGAACCAGTTTATATAAAAAGTTTATATTTGGTAAAAATCAATAAACTCATCATAGACACGTGGTCAGGATTAAAGTTTTGTATGCCAGTTGCACGTTTGGACTACATTTCATGGATCAATGATCAAGGTTAAAGTTACGTGATTAGGTCCGCTCGCTCAAATACTATCAGCAATAGGTCAACTATATTTGGTGTATGGAATGATTGTAAAGTGTACAAGTCTGTCTGGGAGGTATCATCTGACCTTGACCTCATTTTCATGGTTCATTGGTCAGTGTTAAGTTTTCGTGTTTTTGTCTGTTTTTCAAATACTTTAAGCAATAGATCAACTATATTTGGTGTATGGAATGATTGTAATGGGTACATGTCAGTCTGGCAGGTTTCATCTGACCTTGATCACATTTTAATGGTTCATTGGTCAATGTTAAGTTTTTGCGTTTTGGTCTGTTTTTCAAGTACTATTAGCAATAGGTAAACTATATTGGGTGTATGGAATGATTGTAAAGTGTACATGTCTGTCTGGGAGGTATCATCTAACCTTGACCTCATTTTCATGGTTCATTTGTCAATGTTAAGTTTTTGTCTGTTTTTCAAATACTATAAGCAATAGATCAACTATATTTGGTGTATGCAACGTTTGTAAGGTGTACATGTCTGTCTGGCAGGTATCATCTGACATTGACCTCATTTTTATGGTTCATTGGTCAATGTTAAGTTTTTGTGTTTTTGTCTGTTTTTCAAGTACTATAAGCAATAGGTCAACTATATTTGGTGTATAGAATGATTGTAAGATGTACATGTCTGTCTGGCAGGTATCATCTGACTTTGACCTTATTTTTATGGTTCAATGGTCAATATTAAGTTTTTGTGTTTTGGTCTATTTTTCAAATACTTATAGTAATATTTCAGCTATATTTGGTGTATTGAATAATTGTAAGGTGCACATGTCTGTCTGGCAGGTATAATCTGACGTTGACCTCATTTTCATGGTTCATTGGTCAATGTTAAGTTTTTGTGTTTTGGTCTTTTTTTTAATAAGCATACACAATAGGTCAAACTATATACATGTATGTCTGTCTGACATGATTTATATGACCTTGACCACATTGTCATAGATCTTTAAAAATGTTTCTCTAATGCTTTTACTAAAACCTTTATCTTTGATATAAATAAGAAGATGTGGTATGAGTGCCAATGAGACAACTATCCATCCAAGTCACAATGTATAAAAAATTAACAATTATAGGTCAAGACTTGATATAAAATCAATGGTCAGTAAAGCAGGCGAGACATTTCAGCGTGTGCACTCTTGTTTTAATATCTTTATAAGAATAGCATGAATAGGGCTTCATATACATGATATAGATAATTATACTGTTTCTTAATTTTATTTCATTGTACATTAAATAAAATAATTTTACAACCATATACACTAAATACTGATAATTGTAATGACATATATATCTGTGTATTTTATTTTCTGTAACGTGAACATTCAAATTATCAAATTATAGTAAATTGACAAATTAGTAACAAAAAAATAGATTTTAAAATATAGTTATCATTTAAACCTATTCAAGGAATGTAATACTGGACACAAGAACTAGATAAATTGTAAAAAAAAAATTATATATCGTTTTAATGAGAAACAATGAATATCATACATCAATAAAATAGTTTTCCTCATTGGATTTTAATTGATAATTTCCTTTTCTTTATAATAATTATTTACCAAAACATTTTTTTTTAAAAAGGCCTAGACATTTAGTTTATTAGTTGTTTCTGACAAGTGTAAAAAAATATATATACACTAAGCAGAAGTCACTATAGCAATTAATTCTAATATGAAGTTCTCCTTCGCGTTGGCAACAAAGCCATGTTGTAATTCCAATAAAACATGGGCTGCACGTGATTGACGTCACAATTGAAATTGCAACATCAGTTGCATTTTGATCAACGCTGGAGAACAAAATGGACATTTGTGTTGTTGTTGCTCGCTAGGAAATTAAAAAAAATCATTCTAAAAGTAAGTTTACATGTATCTTTTCATTTATTTATAATGAAAGTTATGAAACTTGATTTTTGAAAACGATCAAATAAAAATGGATGCCATTTGAACGCGTATCATAGGTTCTCCTCGGAGTACAAAAGTTCTAAATTTTCCTTTTAGAATCGAAATAATTCTATCATGCCATGCTCTATGCTCATTTTAACTTGGGTAGGCATTATATTTGTCAACATTTTACACCTCGCTAACGCTTGATATAAAGATATTGACAAATATAATGCCTACCCATGTTAAAATGAGCATAGAGCATGGCATGAAAGAATTATTTCTTAAACATAATTGATAATTTTTCCAACCCCCCACCCCTCTCCCCCTTCCCCCTTCCCCATTTTTTGGCAAGTTTATAGTTAAAAGGAAAGGGGTGTTTTAAAGACAATAAAAAAAAAGAAAATATGAACACAAATTTTTCATTGTATTAGGCATACTAGACAGTTATGTGTCCATTGAAGATGTTCAAATTTGGCATGATTATATTTTGTTTGGAGGATAATATTCATATGCAATTCCACTTGAACAGGACTGTTCATTGATTTTTCTTTTTCAGTCCAGGTTCAGCATTTGTTGGAAAGACAGAGATTCATCTTGACCAGAGAGTTCAAGTTACAGCAAAGTCAGATATAATTTTAATACCAGGTGCTTATTCTGTTGATATTCTTTCCAAGACAGTCACAGGAAAAAGGAGGGAACCTGGTGTTGTGTGTGTTGTTGAGGTATTACGATAGTTTGATCTTATCCATGCATCATAAGTGATATTAGGCCAGCGATAAGGCCAACATAAGAAATACTTGTGTGTAGGGTTTCCCTACTACCCTATTTTCCATTTCTCAAAATGCCTACCCTATTTTCATTATTGGTAGTGAATTGTGACAAATCGGCAGTTTTCCCCATATACTCCATATTTAAAAAAAATCAGCAAAGTTTAAATAAGTCCTCCATAACTACCCTATTTTTCTTAGATAGGAAACCGTAAAAACAAACGTCATTTTTTGTTCGACCAAAATCACATTTTATGAGGATGTTAGAGTGCTTAATCAGGTCAGTCACATTTTTTTTTAACTTGAGAACTGTTTAACCAAAACCTTTCAAATTTTAATATGCTCCTTGATTGATTTGAAAATGACATTGTTACATTTTGTAAATTGTTTCCATACAAAAAAGTTGCAAACTGTTCAATTGAGGTCGACGATTGGTACTTATGCAGTTCAGACGTTTTGGCCCTTTGTTGCTTTATAACAATGACTCTAATAAATTTAATAAATACCTGGTTTGCTGTAATTTTGACAGCCTCTTGCTTTTTATATAAAGTTAAAACCATGTTCTCTGGTATGGAAAGAGTTTTTTTTTAAATCTATATTGATTTTTGCTAGACTTGGACAGAAACTTCTTCATGATCAAAATATTTCCTCATCACTTGGTGTTGGTTGTCTGTCCTTATCATCATTTGTTAACTTTTAAAAAAATATCCTCTTAAACTGCCAGGCCAAATTAAACCAAACTTGGCCACATCTGAAAATTTCTGCTCCTGTCACACATGTGACAGGAGCAGCAATGTTCAGAAAGTTGTGATCTACCTATTTTCCCATTTAAATCAAACTATTTGCCACTGGATGTTAAGCAACCAACAATCAATCAATCAACCAAAACTATCAGATGACTTCTTTTAGGAGTTATTACCTTTAAATGATAAATTTTACCATTTGCATGTGATCTATAACAGTACTGAAGGGATCACACACTGATATATACCCCATACATGCACTTGCTTGTTGATGTATTTCAACATTCCCAGTTGTACAGCTTTTTAGTGTCTCTTAAAAAATTTGTTTTTGAGGATAAAGGGCAATGGAAAATATGTATGAATGCCACTTGACTATATATGCTGTCAAACAAATATTACACTGCTCCTGTTATTAATGATAAGTTTCTTAAATATCACAAAACATAATGTAATCATAAACGTGTAGTTTAAAGTAATCATGATTACTTTAAAAGAAAAGTATTCTGATATACATGTTACATGTACTTATTGTAATGGATTACATTTGAATTTAGGTGTAATTATAATGTAATCAATAACATTGAATAAGCAAAGTATTTGCAATTTAATCAATTACTTTAAGGCCATGTGAGCTTTTGTCATCATCTGTTGTCCATTGTCTGTTGTCAGAAACTATAAAAAAAAATTTTCCTCTGAAACTGCTAGGCCAAATGTTATGGAAATTTACTGGAATTTACCATAGGGAACCTAGTTTGGCTGTTGCTAAAAATATATCAATGGGGTAAATGCAGTTAATTGGCTTATATCTTTGAAACTAAAGCAGATAGAGCAAAACGGTCTGTCTAAGGTGGATATTGGCATAAAATGGAACAACCTATTTTGGAGTTGTTACCCCTGAAATGTCAATTTGTAGCAAATTTCAGTTTTTGGCTTGTATCTATACAACTAAAAATAAGAGCAAAACTGACAATGGGTAGAAATGATTAAATTTCTATCTTTTATTACATTTTAAGGAAAATTCATACAACCTATTTTGGTGTTGAACTATAATAGATATAGAGAAATTTTAAACAGTAAGACTTAGCATAACAATAAAGTCTAACTTTAAGTCAAAATGGCCAAATCTTCAATTGACCCTTTATGGGAGTTACAATGTATTGCCTTTGAATGATGGCAGCTTCCATATATATAAGAAAGCAAAAAAAAACCAATTTCTAAATATGTTTGGCATTAATCAACACCAATGAACATACATGTTATACTAAAATAAATAAAGACTTTTGGACAAAAAATAAATCTATTAACATCATATTTTTTTAAATAAAGGACATGTTAAATGTAATGTTGCTATTATAAGAAAAAGAACAGACATTTTGACAGAAAATTCTTATATTAGCAACATGAACAATCATGATATCTTCAGTATTTTCAAGGTTTGGATGTATTTCTTGCTTAAAAATGAAAGACAAATTGATATAAAATATATTTTAATATCTGTACCAATAAAAAGGAATCATATTAGCTTTAAAAAAGATTATCTTGGAATTGCTAACATAAGATTTGAAAGACATGAACAGTTCTGCTAACATAAGGTTTGACAGAAATTAACATTGTTGCTAACATAAGGTTTGACAGAAATTAACATTGTTGCTAACATAAGATTTGACAGAAATTAACATTGTTGCTAACATAAGGTTAGACAGAAATTAACATTGTTGTTAACATAAGATTTGACAGAAATTAACATTGTTGCTAACATAAGGTTTGACAGAAATTAACATTGTTGTTAACATAAGATTTGACAGAAATTAACATTGTTGTTAACATAAGATTTGACAGAAATTAACATTGTTGCTAACATAAGATTTGACAGAAATTAACATTGTTGCTAACATAAGATTTGACAGAAATTAACATTGTTGCTAACATAAGGTTTGACAGAAAGATTTGACAGAAATTAACATTGTTGCTAACATAAGGTTTGACAGAAAGATTTGACAGAAATTAACATTGTTGCTAACATAAGGTTTGACAGAAAGATTTGACAGAAATTAACATTGTTGCTAACATAAGGTTTGACAGAAAGATTTGACAGAAATTAACATTGTTGCTAACATAAGGTTTGACAAAAATTAACATTGTTGCCCACATAAGATTTGACAGAAATTAACATTGTTGCTCACATAAGATTTGACAGAAATTAACATTGTTGCTAACATAAGATTTGACAGAAATTAACATTGTTGCTAACATAAGATTTGACAGAAATTAACATTGTTGTTAACATAAGATTTGACAGAAATTAACATTGTTGTTAACATAAAATTTGACAGAAATTAACATTGTTGCTAACATAAGATTTGACAGAAATTAACATTGTTGCTAACATAAGATTTGACAGAAATTAACATTGTTGCTAACATAAGATTTGACAGATATTAACATTGTTGCTAACATAAGTTTGACAGAAATTAACATTTTTGCTAACATAAGATTTGACAGAAATTAACATTGTTGCTAACATAAGATTTGACAGAAATTAACATTGTTGCTAACATAAGGTTTGACAGAAAGATTTGACAGAAATTAACATTGTTGCTAACATAAGGTTTGACAGAAAGATTTGACAGAAATTAACATTGTTGCTAACATAAGGTTTGACAGAAAGATTTGACAGAAATTAACATTGTTGCTAACATAAGGTTTGACAGAAATTAACATTGTTGCTCACATAAGATTTGACAGAAATTAACATTGTTGCTCACATAAGATTTGACAGAAATTAACAATGTTGCTCACATAAGATTTGACAGAAATTAACATTGTTGCTAACATAAGATTAGACAGAAATTAACATTGTTGCTAACATAAGATTTGATGGACTTTATTGTTGCTACCATAAGATTTGACAGACTTGATTGTTGCTAACATAAGATTTGACAGACTTTATTGTTGCTAACATAAGATTTGACGGACTTTGTTGTTGCTTACATAAGATTTGACGGACTTTATTGTTGCTAACATAAGATTTGACAGACTAAATAGTGTTGCTAACATAAGGTATTGCTAACATCAGATAAATTTGACAGACAATATATTTTTGGGTTTTTGATTCAGCCATGCTGGATCTATGTGATCACCACGGATTTTGAGATGGTACAGAATTCTAAGTTGAAGACATATCATGAACCTGATATGTGTTTTTATGACTTGCAGAAACTTTATACACCATTTTAATCATTAACTGCCAACTTTTGACATGTTAATTGCCCTTAAATTAAGAAAAGATTGGTCGAACAGCTACTTTATTTTAGATATACACTTGCATATAGTTCCTTTATAAATCAAAATTTATATTAAAATTGCCATTTATTAATTATTAAATGCACAAAAGTAATAAAAATATCAAATCAAAGCAGTAATTTTAAAATTTCAAAACTCTGAACATGAAATTTCCAATCGAAACTGGAAGATGGCAAAACTTAGAAAAAGAAAACAGAAAGTGTGTATTGTGTAATTTAGATGCCATTGGTGATGAATACCATTACATTTTTAATTGTTCAGCTTTTGATAACTGTAGAAAACAATGTATTACATTTCATTATAGGAATAGACCTAACACGTTGGAAGTTTCATGACTTAACATGCTTAATGAATTCCAAAACATGATGCACTATCTTTTGAAGGCTTGCATCTTAGCTATGGCAACCTTAAACATATACAACAGCTAACATATACCACTGAAAAAAATCATCCATTGGGTAATTTTTTCAACAACTGGTCATCTTTATAAATTTGCCTTGATTTAAATGGATTTCAAATTGGACTGGCCAACTGTTGAATTCAGAAAAGGAATTACAAAAAATTTAGTACTTAATTGACAAGATTTGTTTGTGATTGTTGCTTGCTGTTTAATATGCAGAAGGTTGCCATAGTTTTACTTTAGTTGTTACCCTAAGAAACAGGAAATGTAAGCATTGAACCATTGTATTATTTGGATCATCTTATTTATTAATTTTTTTTTTTTTTTCTGAATTGGGAATTTATGTTCACATAAATTATTTTGGACCGCTGGTCAATTTTAGGGCCGCTACGCGGCCCTAAACTATATAGTAGAATCATCCCTGCTGTCTGGCAGGTATCATCTGACCTTGACCTCATTTTCATGGTCATTGGTAGATGTTAAGTTTTCCTAGTAAATACTATATTTGATATGTCAACTATATTTGATCCATGGAATGATTGTAAAGTGTACATGTCTTTCTGGCAGGGTTCATCTGTCCTTGACCCTTTATTCATGGTTCATTGGTCAATATAAAGTTTTCACGGTTTGGTCTGTTTCTTGTATACTATAAGCAATAAGTCAACTATATTCAATATATGGAACGATTTTAAGGTGTACATGTATTTTTGGCTTGGTTTATCCAACCTTGACCTCATTTTCTTGGATCATGTAAAGTTAATGTCATACTTGTAGTAAAACTTTGTATTTGGGGCTATCAACATAAAATCAATGGTAGTAAAGCAGGCGAGACATTTTAGCGTGTTTACCTTAAGTTCAACTTCCTAGAAACTTTCTGGGACACCGCCTTAAAAAATATTTCAGATTTTTTCTTACTCAAGATTAGAGTATTCTTAAATTTTTTAGTATAGCCAAAACTAACTTAAGCATATGACTGTTGATAGTGTTTTTGTTAAAATTAGCATTGAAGAACGTCACTATAATCAACACAACATAAATTGTATCCAAAAGAACATGTATATCTTTACTTCCAACATAATTTTTGTTTTGGTTAACATTGTCCTTCTCATACATTTTTTTAGGATAAATACTCAACATTAATTTTGTCAAAGTCAGTCAAATTGAGGTTTCCGGCTATCTTCAGGCATTTATAATTTGCTGATCTGTTTTGAAATAAGCAATAATATTGTTAGAACAATTACAAAAGTACGCACAGTGCTGTGATACTATGAATTTAAGTAAAGATTGTGTTTATATATCTGAAATTGTTTGATTCACTCGTGTATGTAACAACGTATTTGATTTTAACGAAAGAAACATCTGTATTACTGAAAAATTATTACAGCAGAGTTTTCGATATCACAAATTAGTCAAAACATTTACTAAATTTTATCATCGGTACAAGGACATCATTTGTAAATATAAATCAACATGCAGACATCTTATACGTTAAGGTATTTCACATCCAATCTTTTATTGTAATATTCTATACAAAGCACAAAAATGTCAACATTCACCTCAAAAGCTAACTAACTTATTCAGAAGGGATATAGTTACGAAACTGTTGTCAGGTCATTAAAGATGGCATATTTTGGTATTAATATTGATTCACTCATAGGGTCTTTGCATCGGAAATAAACACATTTATTCTAAAACCAGTTGTTGGCATGATATGGGTTATGTTCTTCTCATATATTTTATGATGGTATGAAACTAAACCCCGAACTGGAGGTATTGTGCTAGATTTTTATATGATGAAGACATATATAATCTTTCAATCAGTTTAATTGAGGTCTGGAGCTGGCATGTCAGTAACTGCTAGTAGTCCTTTGTTAATTTATGTGTCATTGTCATTTTGACAAGAACTAGATCTTCCATCACTGTATTGGATACCTAAACTAAAATAAGTGTCCTTACAAACAACGGTATATTGCTGGGTCTTCCAAGAGCTCCACGAAACCTCTTTCTAATTTATTAACATCTATTTTATCAGCAATCAAAGCCGGGCTCCAAAGTTATTGTGAAACTGCCTATTCTAGAGGTGGCGTGAATCAGATGTTGATACTAAAAAATTCCAAAGATCTTTTAGAGTACATACAATCTAAGACTCTCTCATCTTGCAATAGTATTAAAACATTTGACTTTTCTACACTTTACACAAGTATTCCCCATTCCAAACTAAAAGACAAATTGAAAGAGTTGGTATTACTTTGTTTCATTAAAAAGAATGGCGAACGAAGATACAAGTATCTTGTCTTGGGAGGGATAAATCCTACTTTGTAAAGAATCACTCTGATTCAAACAAAAAATTCTCTGAAACTGACATTATCAAGATGCTTGATTTCTTGATTGACAACATATTTGTTACGTTTGGAGGACGTGTTTTTCAACAGACTGTCGGAATTCCAATGGGAACCAATTGTGCCCCTCTTCTTGCCGACTTGTTTCTTTATTATTATGAGGCTGACTTCATACAGGATCTTCTTAGGAAGAAAGATAAGAAGTTAGCAATATCCTTTAACTCTACGTTCTGCTATATAGATGATCTCTCACTAAATAATACAAAATTTGGTGACTATGTTGAACGAATCTATCCCATTGAACTAGAGATAAAGGATATACTACAGATACAGTTAAGTCTGCCGCATATCTTGACTTACATCTAGAAATTGACAATGAGGGTCGGTTGAAAACAAAACTTTACGACAAAAGAGATGATTTCAGCTTCCCAATTGTGAACTTTCCATTTCTATGTAGCTACATTCCAGCAGCGCCTGCATACGGAGTATATATCTCACAATTGATACGATATTCCCGGGCTTGTGTTTCCTATCATGATTTCCTTGATAGAGGATTGCTGCTCACAAGGAAGCTATTAAGCCAAGAGTTCCAAATGGTGAAGTTGAAATCATCCCTTCGTAATTTTACGGACGCCATCACGAGTTGGTTGACCGTTATGGAATAACGGTTTCACAGATGATATCGGATATGTTCCTTATGTTGTAACTACAATACCCTTCCCTTTTCACGAATGTGACTTACCGAATTAGACTATTTACCGGATTTGTAATAACATAAGCAACATGACGGGTGCCACATGTGGAGCAGGATCTGCTTACCCTTCCGGAGCACCTGAGATCACCCCCAGTTTTTGGTGGGGTTCGTGTTGCTTAGTCTTTAGTTTTCTATGTTCTGTCATCTGTACTATTATTTGTCTGTTTGTCTTTTTATTTTGGCCATGGCGTTGTCAGTTTGTTTTTGATCTATGAGTTTGACTGTCCCTCTGGTATCTTTCGTCCCTCTTCTTTGCTTAGTTTCTTTTGTTACCTATTCTGACATTGGACTCAGACTTCTTTTAAACTGAGTTTTACTGTGCGTATTGCTGTGTGTGTTTGTTTATTCTACATTGGCAAGAGGTATAGGGGAGGGTTGAGATCTCACAAAACATGTTTAACCCCGCTGCATTTTGCGCCTGTCCCAAGTCAGGAACCTCTGGCCTTTGTTAGTCTTGTATGTTTTTTAATTTTAGTTCATTTATATGTTTTGGAGTTTAGTGTGACGTCCATTTTCATTGAACTAGTACAAATTGTTGTTTTGGGGCCACCTGAAGCCCACCTCCCAGTGCGGGATTTTCTCGCTGTGTTGAAGACCCATTGGTGGCCTTCGGCTGTGTTCTGCTCTTTGGTCGGGCTGTTGTCTCTTTGACACATTCCCCATTTCAATTCTCAATTTCATTGAAAGACTTTGTGAAAATAGTGTGAAATAACTTCACTACTCCCTTTTTTTAGCCCACCTGGGGGCCAGGTGAGTTTTTCTCATCACTTGGCATCCGTCGTCGTTGTTAACTTTTACAAATATCTTCTCCGAAAGTACTGGGCAAAATTTAACCAAACTTGGCCACAATCATCATTGGGGTATCTAGTTTAAATAATGTGTCAATGACACCCCTGCAAACCATGATGGCCGACATGGCTAAAAATAGAACATAGGGGTAAAATGCAAGCTTTGTCTATTATTTTGAAAACTGTTATAAAAAGAGGGCAGAAATGTTTAGAATGTTGAGCTCTTCCAATTGTCCATATATGTCAAAACTGTCAGATGACTTCCTGTAGGAGTTATTGCCCTTAAATGACAAATTTTATAATTTAAAAAAATGTTTGCCTACTTTCTTGAAAACTAATAGATAAAGAGAAACTTTAAATCACAAAAATGATCAGCATGACAAGTTCTACTAATAAGTCTGCATGTTGGAAATCGTCAGTCAACTCCTTATTAGAGTTATTGCCCTTTGTTGACGATTTTACCAATTTTTTGCGATTTTGCCTTATATCTTAAAAATTATAATAGATAAGTAGAAACTTAAATTAGCAAAAATGATCAGCAAGACAAGATCTACAATTAAGATTGAATGGAGGAAATTGTCCGACAACTCCTTATTGGAGTTATTGCCCTTTAATGACAATTTTCCATTGTCTGCTAACTTTTACAAAAATCATCTCCTCTGAAACTACTGGGCCAAATTTAACCAAACTTGGCCACAATCATCATTTGGTATCTAGTTTTAAGAATGTGTCCTATAACCCTGCCTGCCAACCAAGATGGCCGACATAGCTAAAATAGAACATAGTAGTAAAATGCATGTTTTTTTGTCTATTATTTTGAAACTGTTATAAATAGAGAAAATCTGACAAGAGCAAAAATGTTCAGAACATTGAGCTTTACCAATTGTTTTTATAAGTCAAAACTGTTAGACCACTTCTTATAGGAGTTATTGCCTTTAACATGTTTAAATGACAAATTTTACCATTAAAAATTTTTTTGCCTATTATCTCATTATTATGATAGATAGACAGAAACTTTACACAGCAACAATGATCAGCAAGACAAGATCTTCAAACAAGTCAACATGACTAAAACCATAAGACAACTCCTTATTAGAGTAATGGTTGTTTAATGATATTTACCAATATTTGTGTTATTGCCTGATTCCATAAAAACTATAATAGATAGATAGAATCTTAAAAGAACAAAAATCATCAGCACGACAGGATCTACAAATAAGTCAACATAGCTGAAAATATTAGAGTTATAGCCCTTTAATGATGATTTTTACCAAAAATCAATTGTCAGTAAAGCAGTCGAGACATTTCAGCGTGTGAACTCTTGTTACTAAATAGTGGCCATTTTTGATGATGCAGGTGAGTGACTCAGGCTCTTTAGAACCTTTAGTTCATTTATGACAAGCATATCTGACTTTTATTGTTGTTCAAATATAACGCAGTCTGAAATTCAAAATGGTTGAGTCTTGGCCTAAGCCTTTAGTAATTTTTGTACCCTGAACATTTAAAGATATTCAACAAACATTTTTTTTAACACTTTAGGTTAAAAACTTGAAACATTCAATCAATAAGAACTATGGTGGAAGTGAACTTGACAAAACAAGACCATCAAGATCAAATAGTGAAGCTAGTGGTAGTGAAATTTCTGTTCATCCTGAAAAACCAATCGTTCAGTGGATTAAACCTGATATACTAGCACAACATGGAGGAGAACTACTCCTCCTCGACCAATATTTTACAAAACAACTGGAAGGAACAGATGGTCTTAGAGAGTATCGCCCTGGGATTATAGTAGTTGGAACTGAAGTATGTAACATTGACCTAATGTCATAATTATACCCCCACTCCTTTTTTTCCGTAACCACAAATCAGAACTTCTCAAAATTTAGTATCAAACTTGATATTGGTAATCTATATTGGTGTCTGATGTCTTTTCCTTCACATGTCATACAAAAACAAGATAATGATTTGATCAAACATCATGAACCTTGTATGGAAGTTTGAATTAGTGAAAGATAGGTCTGTTTTAATATTGCACATTTTTAGCTCACCTGGCCCGAAGGGCCAAGAGAGCTTTTCTCATCACTTGGCGTCCGTCGTCGTCGTCATTAGCTTTTTACAAAAATCTTCTTCTCTGAAACCACTGGGCCAAATTTAACCAAACTTGGCCACAATCAACATTAGGGTATCTAGTTTAAAAAATGTGTCCGATGACCCTGCCAACCAACCAAGATGGCCGCCATGGCTAAAAATAGAACATAGGGGTAAAATGTAGATTTTGGCTTATATCTCTGAAACCAAAGCATTTAGAGTAAATCTGACGGGGGTAAAACTGATTATCAGGTCAAGATCTATCTGCCCTGAAATTTTCAGACAAATCTGACATCCTGTTGTTGGGTTGCTGCCCCTGAATTGGTAATTTTAAGGAAATTTTGCAGTTTTTGGTTATTATCTTGAATATTATTATAGATAGAGATAAACTGTAAACAGCAATAATGTTCATCAAAGTAAGATCTACAAATAAGTTGTCAGTCGACCCCTTTAGGAGTTATTGCCCTTAATAGTCAATTTTTAACAATTTTTTGTAAATTTTTGTAATCTTTTACAAAAATCTTCTTCTCTGAAACTACTGAGACAAATTAATTTAACCATACTTGGCCATAATCATTATTAGGGTATCTAGTTTAAAAAATTTGTCCGATGACCCCGCCTTCCAACCATCATGGCCGACTTGGTTAAAAATAGAACATAGGGGTAAAATGCAGTTTTTGGTTTATATCTCTGAAACTTAAGCATTTAGAGCAAATCTGACAGGTGGCAAAAATGTTCATCAGATTTAGATTTATCTGCCCTGAAATTTTCAGACAAATCCGACAACCAGTTGTTGGGTTGCTGCCCCTGAGTTAGTAATTTTACAAAAATTTTGCAGTTTTTTGTTATTATCTTAGATATCATTATAATATCTAATATCTAATACTATTAATTATTATTTTAACCTTATTTTACATGATTTCCAAAGCATCAGTAAATACAGGTGAGCGACACAGGCTCTTGAGAGCCTCTAGTTTGGTTTGCAGTTAAGTGTGTCATGACATTAGCCATCAAGATTTAAGGCAATTTTTAATATATCAGGCATCAATTTGAGCATGCATGGATTGATTTACAAATTAGTTACTGTGACTTGACTGTAAGTGTTGCTCTCCACCTATTGCAATTTATTCAAAATTCTGACCAAATTGCAATTTTTTTTATAAAACCAAACTGTTCAACTGGTCAGAAATTTGAACAAACTGTTGTAGAAAACCACAGTCATGACAGTCAAGTCCTGAAAGTGCAAGGTGATAAAATAAAGCATACTTACAATCCTATAAGACTTTAATTTCACTTCAATGTTATTATGAAAAATCAGGCTAACGGTTTGTATAGAAATTTTAATGTTATTGTCATGCTAAAGGTGACAGGTAGTAATTTTGAATTGCTATAAAAATGTCCAAACTAAACTTTCATGCAATTTTTCTTTCGTAAAGTCTTCTATATTCATTAGAATCAGACATCATTTGAATTAAAACATCTTATATTCAGTAAAATATATATATGTGAAATTACAATACGTTGTTAGGAAGTTTCCATGGGAGATAAAAAAAAATCTGTTAAAGTAGATACAAAATCGTAAGCTCCTTATTACATTATAACAATAAATCTAGTTTGCAATTTACATTAGAATGATTCATAATATTGAATTTTACAGGTGACGTTCACAGTGCTAGAAATCAAAACTGGTCATTTGACAGATTTAGAGAATAAATTGTGTCAAGGTGTTAAAGCTATAATATACTACTCAAAACCAATGGACTTCTTGCTGAAGGAAGATCGTGACATATTGACAGAGGCATTCACAAGACTTAATAATGGTTGGGTTGACTAAACATTGGCATTCTAAACAGTCACTTTTAATTCTTTTTGGTTTTATATCAGCTTTTTAACGTTAATAATTTGGGATTTTCAAATATTACCACCTCCAGCATCATTGAATAGACATAAATTGTAGAAATGTGTATCTGTTGAAGTAAAATTGGTACTGTTTATGATATAAGCACAATTATCCAATTGACAATTTTTTACGAAAACTTACACAGCTTTCACATGTTTCAGCTAATGCTGCAATTTAAAAAATGTATGCATACTAAACTAAGTCCTCTATGCACAATTTTTTATAATTATTATGAATCCATAACATATAATCGACAAAAAATATTCATTTAGAGAAAACATTCCTTGCTAATTAACTTTTAGTCGAAGTTTACCAAACATGACCTTAATAAATAATCAACACAGACTTTTGGACCACTTGAATAAAAAAAAAAAAAGATGATAGACATGCAATAGCGATGTTTATTGTTTTAATATATATGTAGGACTCTGAACTGCGATGGTACTCCAAACCATGATGGTCACGCCGAAGTGTGATGGTCAAAGCTGAAGTGCATTGGTTAACACGCTGAAGTGCGATGGTAACATATATTTTGACTATAACTTGTTGATAACTACGCTGAATAGCGATGGTAACATTTTGACTATAACTTGTTGATAACTATGCTGAAGTGCGTTGGTGGTTATGCTGAAGTGCAATTGTGTAACAATGACGTTGATGTTGATTGTTTTGAGGGTGCATACTAGCTAAAATGCGATGATCAGAAGTAAGAACCACATTTAACTGTTAGTGTGCTAGCCTGGCATTTGGAAGGTCGGGTTTGATTTATGGTCAGGTCCAACCAAAAACTTTAAAATTTAGATTTGCTAATTCTCAGCTTAGCACACAGCAGTATGGAGTCACAAAATAGACTGGATGGCTCAGATTAAGTATAATGGAGTTGATTGGGAAGGATATGTCTTTTTATGGTTTGTGCATGTACCATAAAAAAAAAATTAAAAAAATGGTTTCAACGTGTTGATCTATATTACTAAGCAGGGTCTCATTTAATCAAATATAATTTGTTCTCGTCATGTCATAGCTGCTGAATTGCTCACAACAATCATTTATCTGATGTAACAGTTTTCAAGACATAAAAACCTCTGAATACATTTATGATTGACTTATAACGAGACAATATCACGTGTTCCACCAAAAACTTAAAATTAACTGCTTCTAAGACGATCAGGAAAAACAGAGAAGTACCATTCGGGTTTATTTCGGCCTAACCTGTTGCATAAGATTAATAATGTAAGCACAATAACATTAGACTTAGAGTGCCAGATTTCCTACAATGCAGGATTCATTCCAAGAATAAAACAAAACTATCTTGACTTGTTATAACGAAAACATTTTTTATCATTAAATTGTCCACACAAAATCCTGTGAAGCATACTTCAATAGAAGTCAAAATTAATATTTAGATAAGTACATTTTATTTTTCGTACAAAACATTTGCGGCATACTTCCGAAAACTGGTAAGCCCATCTGCATAACAAGTTCATATTTCAGTCACCTTGCTCCCCATGATTTACCACTTTACTTGGCTCTATATATTTTTGTAACCTCCACCTGCATTGCTCAAAACTGTTCTGCACTTAATCGTTCGTTACTTTCTTTTTTCTTTCCTGTGTCAGCATGAAACCTTGACTACAAAATCATATCCTCCTGCCTGCCAATCCAAGTTGTTATAAAGAAATTTTGTATTTGAAAACGTCACAGTATTCCAGGGTCATGCCAAACCATTGCACTTCAGCCAAAGGACCATTGTACCTCGGCGCAGACAATGGCACTTCAGTGTGACCATCTCATTTCAGCCTCCCCATCACACTTCCGAGTCCTACATATATATATTTTCCATGCAATTCTGTTTGTTAATTAAACTTTGTCATAACAGTTAAATGATTTGGTGTATTAAATTGTTTTTTTTCAGAATTTATTAACGCTATTTACCTTCCAGTGCACGATTGTTAACATGCTTTTAATCATGGTTTTTCCCTCGTATTTGTGCAGTGCGGTTGCCGTAGTTCTATTGAGAGGTGTTGTGGTTAAGGCCACTGCATACAGAAAATCTGTGGAGATTTAAGGTACGGGAAGACAATAATTCAATAACAGCACATTTCGTAAGATTTTGAAAAGATAAATGATTTTTCTTTTAAAAGAAAGTTCATGTACACATATTTTGTAGAAAAGGTAGCCATTCAAGTATATAAAACATATTTTTTTTTTTTTATGCCCCCGCTGTAGCGGTGGGGGCATTAAGTTTTACCCTTGTCCGTCTGTACGTACGTACATACGTCCCAAAATTGGTTTCCGTTCTCTAACTTGAGCTTGCCTCAACCAAATATTATTAAACTTATACACAATACACTTATTACCACAAAACACAGATTAAGTTTGAATTTTGGTGGCGTCACTTTAACCGTTCTAGAGTTATGCTCCTTTATAAATGGAAAAATTGCAAAATTTTTAGTTTCCGTTCTTTAACTTGAGTTTGCCTCAACCAAATGTTATGAATCTTATACACAATGCTTATTACCACAAAACACAAATCAAGTTTGAATTTTGGTCGCGTCACTTTAACCGTTCTAGAGTTATGCCCCTTTATAAATGGAAAAATTGTTAAATTTTTAGTTTCCATTCTCTAACAAGTTTGCCTCAACCAAATGTTATGAAACTTTTACACTGCTTATTACCACAAAACACAGATCAAGTTAGAATTTTGGTGGTGTCACTTTAGTTCTAGAGTTATGCCCCTTTATAAATGGAAAAATTGCAAAATTTTTATTTTCTTCTAAATATCAAGTAATTTTTAAAATTGGAGTTATCTTCCTTTGTCCATGATTATAATTGAATCAACTACAACCAATGCTTTAGTTTATACAATGCAATGTTTAATTTTGACATCCACAGATAAAACACAGATCAAGTTGAATTTGGGTAGTGTCACTTTAACCATTATTGAGTTATGCCCCTTTATACATCGAAAGATGCAAAATTTTTAGTTTCCATTCTGTAACTTAAGTTTGCCCCAACCAAACATTATGAAACCTATACACCATATTCATTACCACAAAACTAAGATCAAGTTCAAATTTGGGTAGCGTCACTTTTACCGTTCTTCAGTTATGTCCCTTTATAACTATATGATATGCAAGCGGGGGCATCATCTGTGTCCACATGTGGACACTATCCACGTTTTTTTAATTTGAAGTATCATTTGGCTTTAAGACTCGTATTTGAATGATTTTTCAAAAAAAGTAAGTAATTGAGGATTTTTTGTTATTTTTCCAGGCTTGCCAACTTATACATTTTGCAGGAAAATTTTCAAAACATTGTACAGAATTTTGTTTTCATTCCTAGTCTTTGGCATATCACACAAAGTTTTCAAACCTATTTAGTTCATGCACCTTCCAGTATGGGCTTGTTTATATTTCAAGATTCACAAATGTTCATTATAGACAATGCTCCATTGTTTATGAAACTCTACCCAGCCAGCCTTTTTGAGTCTGATCTATTTTTGTTGAGCCTGCAATCAAAGCAAGTCATAGCGATCCTAGATTCCATCATCCTTGGCGGTGTCTGTGAGTTCAGTCTATGGTTCAAGTTTTTTTTACATCTATTATTTTGTTAAACCTTTATGGAGTTATATGAAGTTTAGACAGAAGCTTTTGGGTCTCGCATTGACAGTCAAAAAGCAAGACATATGTATGCTGTTTCTGGGGTTGGTGGCATTACAATTTATTAGTTTGTGATAAGGTCAGTTTATGAGGAACAACAATGTATTAGTTTGTGATTAGGTCAGTTTATGAGGAACCATTAGTGGTAGGTCAATGATATTTGTATGCAGTTGTATTAGCATTGGGACATCTCATTTCCATGGAGATTATTTTGCCCTGCCTTCCCAGTCATGGTCTATTGACTTGAAACTTTTGCTTAGTTTACATGCATTAGTTTGTGATTAGGACAGTTTATGGGGAACCACTAATGGTAGGTCAATGATATTTGGTATGCAGTTGTATTAGCATTGGTACATCTCATTTCCATGCATGGAGATTGTTTGGCCTTGTACCTTCAGTCATGGTTTTTTTACTTTGAATATTTTACATAACTTACATGTTAAAGTATTGCTATTTTAAAATAACAAAAAGGGGAGACATCCCTCTGTGTTAACAGTTTATTATATCCAAATAGACAGTATCCAGATCCAAATTTTGAAAGTATTTATTTTCATTTTTCCATATTTTACAATTAAATGGACCATGTTTTTTTTTTACAGGTAAATGCAGTCTTAAAGTGAAAGTTTTTCAGTTATCAATAACTTTTTCAAACATTCATGGAATTTTATGCAGTGGCGGATCCAGAGGGAGGGGGGGGGGGGTTTCAGGGGTTGGAACCCCCCCTTTTTTTTTTGACGATCAATGCTTTTGAATGGGGACATATGATTGGAACCCAACCCCTGTTTATGCTAGGTTGGTACCCCCCTTTTAAAAATGGCTGGATCTGCCCCTGTTATGAAAGGACAAGGTTCACTTTAGGCCAAATATGGCCTTTGAATTTCAACATTATCATAAAATTTTAAAATTGCTATAATTTGGTTCTTAAATGGATCTATTTCAAAAGCCTTACTTCTTTGTTAACATAAATCTCTTCGTAGGAGTACATTCTTGGTTTCAGAATCAGCATATTTTGGAAATATTGTCAAAATACAATGATTTTGTGCATTTTTCGGTCCAAAAAGCTTGAGGAAACCTTGGCTGTACCCTAGGATCCAAAATGTTCTGGAACCAAAAGTTGCCAATGGTGATATTGAATCCCTAGACACAAAAAGTTTCTGGATCATAGGTGGCGGCCAAAGTAAATTATGCAAAAAACTGTTAAGAATTAATGAAAATTTTACCTACTCCTTTGGACAGAAGCTTTTTTCTGACTTAAAGACCGTATCCAGAGCATCAATTATTTTGTCAAACCTTCAATGAATTTTTGAAACTTTTGCAGAAGCTTTTTTACGATAAAGAGGATGTTTGAAGCAAAATTTTGAAAATATATTT